TATATATATAAAATTTTCTTGTAATTTTCAATTCATTGACAAGAAACTGATTTAGGGATTTGAACCAGATCACAGACAACAGGAAGGTTTAAAAGATTTATTGATAAACTGCTTCTGGTGGAGGTTTGAGTCCTTGGGCCAGCACGATCTGGAGTCAGGAAGGTTAGTGAATTGGAGTTCAACGGCTTTGGTTTGATTGTTCAGTTTATAGCCACCAACCTTCGTAAGCAGGTGAGGAAGGATTTCCTTAGAGGAGTTGGTTTCTGTGATGTCACAGTTGGAGAAGGTGAGCTGGTTTTGAGTCGGAGCTGAGCTTGAAACAGTTAGGAGGTAGATCCAGAAGACAGGTCCAGGGAGACAGGTGAGGGTCATGCACAGGTGATCAGAAATCCGAAACCAAACTTGAATCGTGATACGGTAGACATGGTTGTTGTAGAGAAGGCAGAGGTCGTTACCACGGGCTGAGTAGATAATCCAAAGCAAACAGGGGACGAGCAAGATGGGTAATCCGTAAAACAGACATGAAGTCAGAACCAGGAAGACAAACGAAACTGTGGCATGGACACTGGACATTTACTCACTGTGAGACTTTCAATAATCTGGCACTGAGCAGTGTGGCTGTGGGGTTTAAGTACAGGTGATAACAGGTGAGCTGCATGAGGGCTGATTGTGGTGACTCAGCTGAGTGGGTGTGGTTACATGAGCAGACTGAGGTGCAGGTTGACAGAAGCTGGGATGAAACAAACTAACATGAACTGGAACTATGGCAGACAGAGCAGAAAACATGACATTCATATGCACTTTTATGATTGTCTACTGTTGTACTGATAAATATCTCTTGGAGGGTAAACTGTATCTTGGCTGCAAGTATCAAGCTGTAAAATCCTTTGTTTTCTACGGCTGATAGCGGTTGGTCATTAATTACGATGAAGTTTAGCAACTTCTAGGTAAACATTCGAGCTCCGAGACTTCAGCGGTGTGTTTTTTTAGTTCAGTCCGGGGCGGGCAGTCTGATTTCGGTCAGCCTCGCTCAGTCTGCATCTCCTCTGAGACGGGCAGACTGAGCGAGGCGGATTGGGCGCAGCTGGCTGGGGTCGGGCTGCCTGTTTCAGGTTCAGCGAGAGGAGCAGACCGCTGAAGACACGGAGCTCGAATGTCCAATGTAAAACTAACTTTATCGCGGTTTAATGTGGTGCTATGGCTCTGCAGACATTGCATGGTGCTGTCTTGCTTTGTGGTGTTTCTAGTGTAAAACACTTCCACACAGCGGACATGTTTTGGTGAAAAGTTGGTTAGCTGTTAGCCACAGTGCTACTGCACATTGTAACTGGCTGCAAACTATGAAATGTATTTCCTGAATGTGAGGCGGGTCTTATTACTCTGGGCTCACGAGACACACCTCCGTTCAGGAAATCCATTCCATAGTTTGAAGCCAACGTGCAGAGCAGCTGGCAGGGAATCACATGAAAAGAAGTTTCAACAGACACAGACCTGCATCATGGATCGTAAATCTCTGCAGGTTGGATCGGAAAAATCTGATACGTAAATTATGCTGGTATTGGAGGCCGATACAGATACCAGATCGGATCGGCCCCATCCCTACTTCTAAGCCCTACAAGCTTTTCGGAAAGTACCCAGTCAACCATCTATCCTTTATTATTCCACCAGAAGGATCACCAGTAACACAAACAAGTGTGCTTCAATATCTGGTTCAGGTTCATTTTCCTGTGGCAGACGAGTCTTCATAGCCTGTCACAGTCGTTAATCCCCTTAAACCCAAAAGAAGATGACTGGAGCAGAGCTGCAACTATTATTACTAAAGTTAAAAGTAAAATGGGCAATTAATATGTTGGACCCATTTATAGCTTGTGATCTAGATGGTCTCTTCCCAGTTCTCCTCCAAAGTGCACTAGAATTGTTTCTGGGTTCAATCACTAGGATATATGTTTGCTTGTGAACAGCTATGTAACAGTTTGGTGGAGGACAGAAAAAGTTGTCTTTCAGCCCAAACCTGGTAATCCAACATATAGAGAAGCAAAATCTTTCAGACTCATCAGCTTAACATCCTTCTTGCTGAAGGGAATGGAGAGTTTGATAGATTGACATGTAGGGATGATATCCCACCACGTTCCCTGAGGTCAGCGGACCAGTTGCTCCTCACAGTTCCAGGAACTCGTCTTAAGTGCAGAGGTGACAGGGCCTTCTCTGTAGCAGGACCAAGACTCTGGAACTACCTCTGCTTGTCAGACAGGCCCCCTCCCTCTCGGTTTTCAAGTCCCGTTTAAAAACTCACTACTATTCAGTAGCTTTCAACACCAGATGAGCTGTGTTTTGATCCTGTATGCTCCACACTGGTTTGTCGTCATTATCTGCATCGTTTTTATGTCTATATTCTGATTTACCTCATTTTGTATTTTGCTTTGTGTGTTACCTGTTGTTTTGTCTGTACAGCACTTTGGTTGGCTTTGTAGCTGTTTTAAGTGCTTTATAAATAAAGTGGTATGGTATGATATGGTATGGTACACCCACACTTGCCCCACCCTCATTCGCCCCACTCTGGCCCCATAAGCAAGGCCCTCAACCCCCACCATGCGCTCCCTAAACAGGTCTCTCTTGAAAATGAGTTCTCGTGGCTCAATGAGACTAACCTGTATAAATAAAGGCTAAATAAAAATAAAAAAATAAATAAAAAATATCCTAATGCTATCACCTTTAAGTCCTAAACAGCATGCATATCAGACAGGTCTTTCCACAGAAACAGCCTTAAATTATGTTATTTTGTGAATAGAACACATAATATGTGCTTGGCTTCTTGGGGCATTTGACAATCTACTTGTAGAAGCTGTAGAGAGAGCACTTGCCATTAAAGGTGTGGATGAGACAACTACAAATTGGCTCATTTTCATACTTTGGACAAGGAAAAGATTTTCAACTCTGAAGGACTGTACAGTAACAATCAATCTCAGATGGGGCTATCCACAGGAAGGAGTCATTTTGCTCCTGTGTTGGCTCTTGGTTGTCGACAGCCTACTAAGTGAGTTGAATAGATCTAAACTCCATACACAAGGGTACGGAGATGACTTGGTTATACTTATAGAAGGCTTATGCCCAGACACTGTATGTAACCTAATGCAGAGGGGACTAAATGTAGTATCCAGATGGTGCCAGGAACTTTCTGTCAACCCAAACAAGACAGAATTAGTTATTTTCACCCATAAGGAGTCAAGGAAGTGTTACCCACCTCCAAAGCTGGAGGGAGTAGAACTTTTCTTATCAGAGTTGGTTAAGTTTCTGTGTGTCTATCTGGACAGAAAGTTTACTTGGAAAAGATGTGGATGAAAAGTGTAAGAAGGATCGTGTGCTGATATCCATGCCATAGAATTGCAGGTTGTTGTTGGAGTGCTACCCCAAAGGTTATCAGACAATGCTCTAGTATGGTGGATTTTAATTCAAGTCAGGGTGGCAAAAGTGATGCTCACCCATGTGCAACAAATGGCCTGCCTGAGCATCACAGGTTCCATCAGAAGAGCATCCACGGTAGCCCTTGAAGTCCTACTGGACCTGACTCCACTGGATTTGGATACCTTGGAGGAGGCCACATCCAGTGCAGTGAGGTTACGCCAGTCTGGTAGGTGGAGAATCCTATTAGACCCGTCTATCACACTCACAGCATACTCAAATCAGGGACTGGGCAGTTGCTGCTTTTTCAGTAATGGCAGGGCCTGGAGGCATTATGGTCAAAAAATACAACTTTGAACCAAGTTTTCAGACAGAGAGCAAAGATAGATATGCCTGGAGCAACTTCTCTATTGGCGCTTTGCCACTGTCTCAACTCATCATTTCTGCACCACACCAGTTAAGGGCCCACTGCCAGTACCCACCTCTACTCGCCCCCCAGTTTATGGGACCATCTTGTTTGAGGTTTCAAGCGGACTGCTCCGAGGTGCCGATTTTGACGTAAGCTGACAGCAGCCATTTATTGGCCAGCGGAGATATGTCACTGGATGACCTGCACAGCAAAACTGCAAACTACATCTGAACTGCCACTTCCTCATCATGTTGACGAATGGTACCACAAGAAATGAGCGCATTTACATAGAGATATCAGAGATGCTGGTGAAGCATGGCTACACCCAGACTTATAAGCAGTGCTGAGATAAGCTAAAGAAACTGAATTCTGATTAGAGAGAGAACAAGGATCACAACGGGCAGAATGGCTCGAACACAGTGACCTGTTATGATCCCGCCCATGATCCCACCTGCAAAGCGGGGAAACAAGTCAGTGGCAAATCATCTCCACCTTAGAAGGACCGATAAGACAAGAGGAGTCACACTTATCAGTGGCAAAGCTTCTTATGGTGGACCTGTTTCCCAGTTGTTTCTACTGTTTTACAGCTGAATCTCTTCTGATGGGGTCAGTAGGTGCAGGGTTAGCTCTCATCGCCCTGACCAGGAAAACTTTAAGTACACTTGTTGGAGTTCTAACTGGGCACAACCTGCTCATCCACCACAAAATGGTGATGGGACTACATGGTAACAGTCTGTGTGATGCCTGTGGCATTGAATTAGAGACCTCATTGCACTTTTTAGGTCATTGCCTGGCTCTGAGAAATCAAAAAGAAAGAATTCTGCGGGAACCCTTCATGGATCAAGAAGCTTGATTAATCGATCGAGAAGCTCAGAACTCTGAGTGTTTCAGACCTTGTGTCTTTCATCCGAGGAACACAAAGGTCTGAATAAAGCTCACTTTCTTTTTTCAGGAGCAATGGGCCCAACTACGAGGTCACCGTTCATATGAGTTCTTCATCCATCTGGTCTTGCCAATACCAATACTCACCTTTGCCCTCTTCACCCACACCCTGGCAGCTACCCTGACCTTGAGGACTTAATTTACAACAATTTGAAATGATGATGAATTGATTTCAACCTGTTTAGTTACAAGTTTTTATACACCTGTCGAAAGGCTAATGTAATATGGCATTGTCTCCGTCCATCCGTCCGTCGGTAAACTTTTTCTGATCTTGACCATAACTTCTGATCTACTCAAGAGATAACTTAATACAACTTCATACACTTATGCATCATCAGTAGACAGTGTTATACACACTTTTCATCACCTCACCTTCAAGATGGAGGTCAGAAATCAAAGTTACAACAAGGTCCTTGCTTGTCTGAGCTATTGCTACAGATTGCTGTACAATAGTTTGTTGACGGACATTTAATTACTGTACTCTTGATCTCCTTTTGCTGATAGAGGAAGAATCTTTATTCAGCTGTCAGCAAAGAAAAACGGAATGTATCGCTGTAAATTAAAGCACACTACCATAATTGCTCATCCGTTACCTGGCACATGTTTTTGTCATCATTGAGCAAAAAGGGGAATTGGAAATACCCTCTGTTCGTCCATGAATGTTGTAAATGCGATAATTTGAAAAACAAGTGAGGTGCCAACTTCCATTCTGGCATATGACTAGGTGTATGAAAGGTGCTTATCAAAAACTGGTTTGCCATGTCAAAATCCCAGATGGCCATTGCCATATATATATTCATATAGTAAACCTTGTGAGCTTAATAACTTGAAAAATTAGCAACAGGCCAACTTCCATTTTGGTTTGTGGGTGCAAGTAGGTATAGGAATAGTCGCCATCGAAAATTGGGTTGCTATGTCAAAATCCTACATAGCCACTACCATATACACAGTATATGTAAACTGATCCCCCCCCACCCCCCCATCATTTGGGGAAACTATGCTTTTTAGTTTTTATATTGCTTAAAAGTATAGTTTTTGCAAATGATTGGGGTGACCAAAGATTATGGGGGCCAAGGCCAACATACCGCTTGTTAAACACTGACTGAGCCCAGAAGCTTACACACAATCAGATATATGCTGTGGGGTGTGTAAGCAGTCTGTTTTTTATGAAGTTTTTATACATCATAAATATTTACAGCTGTTTATAGAATAGTGGTAAATCACAACTCGATCATTTGCAGGCTTGTGGGGAGCTGGTGTTTATAATGATACCTACAGAAGTGAAGTGAAGGTGTCTATGGATAGATGTAAAACAGTAACTATATTGGTAACATCTATTGCTGGATATGAAATGGTAATCACTGCAGGAAATGACAATCTCAGGGTAAAAATAGTAACCTCTATATGAAATGACAACCACTGGTTACAAAATGGGGGTTCAGTTCAGCAGCAGCATGAACTCATACCAAATACGCAACACGTTGATGTGGTTGATTATAAAGTAGTAACAGTTTAATCACCAATAATTCAACCTCTGTCACAAGAAGCATGCTTTAAATATAACCTTTATAACAATGTTTGTCCTCATTGCCAGACCCAGATGTTCTGGATACATGGTTCTCCTCAGGGCTGTTTCCGTTTGCTATGCTTGGCTGGCCAGAACAGGTACCACCCTGCATGCACCCAACAGAAATACACATCTGTCCTCAAAGCGCCTCATTTTATTTACACGACTCTTGCTTTCAACAGACCTCTGACCTGCAGCGCTTCTACCCCAACTCTGTTCTGGAGACCGGCAGTGACCTCATCTTCTTCTGGGTTGCCAGGATGGTGATGCTGGGAACAGAGCTGACGGGACAGTTGCCCTTTAAACAGGTTTGTGTTTTGTTTGTGGATTAAAAGGCCCTTTAAACAAAATGTTGAGTTGTTCTCTTTGTTCTTCAGGTTCTGCTTCACTCTCTCGTGCGAGATAAATATGGCCGGAAGATGAGTAAATCTCTGGGAAATGTCATTGACCCATTAGACATGATCCATGGAGTTTCTCTCCAGGTGAGCAGCACACAGGAAGTGGACAGGTGTCACACAGGAAGTGGACAGGTGTCACACAGGAAGTGGACATATGTCACACAGGAATGGATTGTACTTATATAGTGCTTTTTTATCTTATCCAGATACTCAAAGCGCTTTACACAACAATCTGTGCCCTCATTTACCCATTCATACAGCACTCTACTAGATCTGCAAAGCTAATTGAACAAATCATTGTAAAGAGAATAATCAGAGCTTTATCACATTCATACACTGATGGGACACACATCAGAGGCAATGAGGGGTTCAGTGTCTTGCCCAGGGACACTTCAGCATGTGACTGCTTTTGGATTCGAACCCCCAAATCTCACATTGGTGGACGACTGCTCTAACCACTCAGCCACAGCCGCCCTAGGAAGTGGGCAGGTGTCACATAGGAAGTGGACA